TCCCTCTGTACCCTTCCAGATGCCGTGGCCTGCGTGGACCCCACCGAGTGTGCCCGGGTGTGCGGGGCTGAGGTGGGCTGCTCCAACATCGCCTACCCCAAGCTGGTGGTTGAGCTCATGCCCAGCGGTAAGTGCAGGGGTGGTGGGCACTGCCCACTGCTCTCCAAGCCTGGCAGCTGGGGCTCTTCCTTAGCTGTCAGCAGAGCCAGCCCAGGCCCTAGAGCTGGGAAGGGGAAGTAATGCCTCATGGGGAAGAGACCTGCTTAAGCCCCAGCTGGGAGAGGGTTGCGGCTGGGCATTAGTCCCTTGCCAGCCTCACCCGCTTGCCTTTCAGGAGGAAGGAGGACAATAAACCCTTTGTTTCAATTGCTGCCAACCTAGATCCCCCTTTTCCCACTGCTGAGGGCACCCAGAGGAGGTCTGAGTGTGGGCAGTGCTGGGTGACGTGCTGCCCGAGAGGTCCTGAGGACAGCAGATGCCTTGGAGAAAGATGCCGATGCCTTCTGTCCCTTCTCCTTCCCCTCCAGGGCTGCGAGGACTGATGATCGCAGTGATGATGGCTGCCCTGATGTCCTCCCTGACCTCCGTGTTCAACAGCAGCAGCACCCTCTTCACCATGGACGTCTGGAGGAAGGTTCGGCTGGACGCTGGGGAGCGAGAGCTGTTGCTGGTGGGCAGGTACGGGACCTGGGCCCCTTCTGTATGGCAGGGCGGAGCAGGGCGGCTGGAAAGCCCAGGGTTGTTTGCTGTGGCTTTATGATCCTTTGGCCTTCAGGGGATCAAAGGGCTGAGCAGGCAAACAGCTGTTATCAACCCTTAGCTGGACCCAGACCTTGATTCTTATCTCAGTGGGGATGGGTAGGTTGGACTCCAGGTCAGCCCGCAGCGCTACCCCGGCACCTAGAAACCCCAAGTACGGTGCAGCTTGGGGGTCTCTGCATGCAATCCCATGGCCGTGGCGCTGGTGATGGCACTAGGGGGTGGTGTGGGCACTTTGGCTATCCCCCATGTGAGCGCTGATGGGGTCGTGGGCTTGCACGGGGTCTTCTGCGTGCCTCCGAATGCTTGTGCCTGGGCAGGGCACGTGCTGTGTGTTGGTTGAGGGGTCGTGGGGTGCTTTCAGACAGGGGCCTGGCACCTTGGCTTGCCCTAAGACAGCACAGGGCAGCAGGGGAGCACCAGGATACATGGGAGGGGAATGAATCTGCCCATTGTGCCGTGCTCCAGGCAGCACCGGGGAATGTGCCTGTCAGTTCAGTGCGAAGGGAGTGTCTCGAGACCAAAGGGCGTCGGGTCACCTCTTTACGAGGAGTCAGTCTGAAATTCCTGGGCTCCTTGTTGTTGATGGTTGGAAGCACCGCGAGACGGTTCGACCCTGACAGCGAGGGGTGTGTCCGCCCTGCCCAGTGCTTTGCCGCGTTAGCTGGCAATGACAGTGCGGCTTGGGACGGTGCCCGCTGCCAGGAGGCTATGTGGTTCCTACTTGTTTATCCCTGCACATTCCCATCTCCTGCCTCCACCCACACCACGCCTTTGCCTCCGTCTACCAGCATGTAAAATGGCCATAATGACAGGTCAGCTTCTCTCCTAAGCATCCTGTGAGCGCTGCGCATCTGTGTTTGCCAAGCATGTCGGTGACCCCAGGGGAAAAGGCACTTCCTGAGCACAAACGAGGGCTGCTCATTCGTGGGGTAGCCAACTTAAGGGGAGCCGTCGCCCTCCGTGTCAGCGCGGCCCTGCTTCCTGTGTCTGGTGCAGCGCGGCTGAGTCACCATCCGTGGCACTAACACCGCGCAGCACCCCGGGCCCTGCTAGGATGTTCAGGTGGGTGAAGGGCACGCTGGCAGCATGGCAGGGGAGGCAGCTTCCTCTGGCAGCTGTTGCAACACGTCCCTACCTGGAAGTGCAGCCCAGCTCAGCTCATCCCAGTGATTCTTCAGCCCCGGAGCCTCATACCTTGGGGTGATGTGCAGTGGCCTGGGACAGCAGTAAGCAAGACCCGATGACCCAGGACAACTGTCTCTGCCACCCTGTGATGGGCCTGATCTGGTCCAGGCTTTGCAGCTGTACGTGTTTGACCAGCCCAGCATTTAGGAAGCTGCCAGCCCAGCCTCTGCTTGTGATCATGTCACCTTTCCCGCAGACAAGCAGCGTGGAGACCCCCGGCCTGCCCACCCTGCTGAGAGAGAGACCTCTGATGAGGCAGGAACACACTTGCTGGCTGTGGTTCCTCCCTCTGCTTTTGCACCCGGACGATGGCTTCGCACATAGCATTGGAGCAGAAAGGGGCTGATAAACTAGTCACTGGCCACAGTGAAGACAGGGCTGGCCTGGGGTGGTGGTGCAGGGTATTTGTTCAGCTCTTTCACACTGGCTGGGTTAATTGTGGGCTAATAATGGCATCAGAGCTGAGCCAGGGGCACCCGGGGAACCCAATGCAGTGTCCTAGTTTATAGTTGGAAGGGACCTCAGGAGCTCATCTAGTCCAACCAGGGGCTGAACCTATGATCTCGGTGTTATTAGCACCACCACAATGGGTTATGAAAATCACAGGGTTACTGGGGTATTAATGAGGCCAGCTTGCAGGTACCTGGCTCCTTTTAACTTGGGATACTCAATGAAGAAGCCCATTCGTTAGCCAGCGATGCAAGGGGGGTGGGGGAAGGGAGTCAGGACTCCTGGGTCCTCTCCTGGGCTCTGTCACTGACTCAAGCCTGCTCTCTCTGCTCCTCCAGAATTGCTATCAGCCTCCCAGGGGGGTCTGATGGCTGAACTCATTTCTGGCTGAAGCACTTGGAGGTCTTGGGAGTGCAGCTGGAGCGGCGTTATTAGCCCTGGGAACGTGGCTTTGTGACCTGGGAATTGCATGTGCCCCTTAGGAGTTACTGGGTAGGAAAGAGGTACGGTTTGGCAGTGCCCAGGAGGGGGTCCGGAGGCTCAGACAGTCCCTTGTAGGCTGATGCCCTGGGGAGCTTCAATCAGCCGAAGCCTAAAGATGGGACGATGAGGGCCGGGGTCCCTGTGCAGTGAGCACTGCTAGCCTTGCTGATGGGGAAATTGAAGCCAGGGAGGGGGCATGACTTTAACTCCTTCATCAGCTACCCCTGTTCGAGGTGACAGCTCATGGGGCAGGAGAGGAGCTTCCTGGGATGCCCACTCCGGTCCCTTGGTGTCACAGGGGCCATGTCCATCAGAGGGGAACCCCCTGCTTGCACACCCGGGTGGGCAGGGGGCACTTGCTGGAGCACTCTTACCTCCAGGAAAGGGCAGTGGCCGCTGAGACCCCACCCCTGTGGGAGGAGAAGGGTCTGGGGGCGTCTGTGCCTTTCTTCCAGGATAGCCAGGCTTGGAGATGCCGTCCCTCCCCGCAGTTCCTCCTCTCTCCGGGCCAGGCTCTGGAGACTCCTGCTCCTCAGAGCTGAGTCAGGCTCCACACCGCTTGCCTTATAACCTGATCCCTCCCTCCACTCTTCAGCCCCACAGTCATTTTTCTTGCCTTTCTCTCGCTCCCTTCAGTGCCCACCTCGCTGAGACCCGCTCCCCGCCTCCGCTCTGGTTCGGTTGCCCAATGCTGCTGTGATTCAGAGTGATGCTTCCAGTGTGAGCAATGCTGAAAAGCCAATGAACTGATGAATCAAAGAGGGCTCAGTGGGTGCACACTCATGCATGTTCACACACACACACACACACACACTTACATGCAGACTCTAGCATGTATGTACAAACTCACATGCACACACATACACAGGCAAACACATGCACACACACACAGGCACACATATACAGACTCACAGGTATACATGTGTGCTCACACATGCACTCACATCCACACACTCGCAGGCATGCATATGTGCACTCACACATGCACATAAACACACTCATATGTGAGCACACACACACTTATACATTTGCATGCACACGTGGACACCTCTTCACACCCGCACTTACACACACATGCACACACACACACACACACATGTGCACCAGTGACAGGGGCACTCATGCAGACACACACATGCATATACACATATTCACACACTCGCACGCACTTATTCAGGCCAGCATCTCCCAGGGATAGGGCGTGGGAAAGGCCGGACCACATGGGACTCCAAGCTCCTGTGGTTCACAGTGGTCAGAAGGGGCAGGAATTGCTGCTGAGCTGGCACCGGAGGGCAGTGCCCAGACACGGGGAGGACGCAGCGATCCCCTCAAAGCACGATGGCAGGCGGCTGGCCAGGCTCCTCTAGCTGCGTCGCTCTGTCTTGCTCCAGGTTTGTGATGCTTGACACAGCCCTGGGGACCACAGAGGAAAAGCAACACCTGGCAGCACCGGGATACGGGCTCCTGGCAGCATGCCCATGCATGCTGGAGCGTGTGGGCATGTCTGTGTGTGCGCGGGCGGGTGGAGCAGGGCAGCTGCTGAGCCCATCGTGGGGATTAAGGACTGAGGAAACACTCGTTAACCCAGGCTCCCACTGCGCTGGGATGGTCTTTCCAGGTCTGGGTCCAGGGCGTCACAGGTCATGGCCTGCGCCCAGGCTGCAAGGCAGCCGAGGGGGTCCGCAGCGGGGCTGGGGATAGAAGCATCCTGTGCTCAGAGGAAATTTTTCCAACCCGTGCATTGGCAGATACCCCCCATGGCAGGCCCTGATCACACTGACCCTATCCCTGTACCATGGCACCCACAACCACGCAGCTCCTAAATCACTTGGGTGTTATGGAAACCTTCAGCCAGAGCTAAGCTCCCAGATATTCATCCCAAAGTTGAAGATTTGTCCTCAGTTAAGTGCCAGGCAGCACCCTGCTCAGGCTGGCGGTGGTAACCCAGGCAGGCTCTGAGCTCAGCTCCTGGTAGCTGCCAAGACAGATAAGCACCCATCCGTTTTCAGGCTCCCAAGTGTGCAGTCAGGATGGGCCCGGACATATGTAAAAGGCAAGGATTTTTGTAGGTGACATCTTTTTATTGGACCAGCTGCATTGGGAAGCTTTTCTAAGTCTAGTCTAAGCATGCGGTTGGTCCAATAAAAGAATCGCCCACGAAAATCCTTGCCTCGCTTGGCTCCTAAGAGCTTCTGTGTTGAGTGTCCTGGCCTGTCCCCTGGATTTTGCTCCATAGAAGTAGGTTGTTTTATACTGATACCAGCTGGATGCATCTCAGCCAGGCCTGCTGCCATAAGGCCACCTCCTGTTGAAGGGTGCAGCAGTTAATACCACCCAAAACTTCTCTGGCTCTCAGAGCAGCTGAGTGACCAGTGAGCCCCTTCCCTGTGTGCGTGCGCTGAGGAATGAAAACCAAGGCTTATTTCTGTGCCCTGAGTCCTGGTGACAGAGGGGAAGCAGGGGGCAAGCTGCGGGATGTTTGCACCTCCAGCTGTCCAAGATCCCTGCTTGCCACATCCAAGCCAGAGGTAAGCGGGTGGCGCTTACTCACCCATGCTGATAACGCTTTGCCTGGGGTATAAATAAAAGGCAAACCCAGCTCTGAGTCCATGAGCTCTCCCAGAGCCCTCCAGCAAGGGCCAGGTGGTCAGATCTTGGGCAGATAGTTGCCTATTGCAAAGAGGCCAGATGCTTCCAAGATGACGGTCTCCCTCCGCGTTGGCTCTCTCGTTGCTCTGACAGCTGCCGACGCTCCGGGTGCCCATGCACCGACGCGTCTGGGCTGGTGCGTCGTTGGCGTGAAGAGTGCCTGTGTCTGTCGGGCAGCGAGCAGCCCTATCTTGCCCTGCTGGGGTCCCAGCTTCGACTTCCCGAGCTGACTGGCACCCGAGGGTGCTGGAAAGGCAGTGGCTTTGCCGATGAGGAGGTGGGAAGCCAGGTGACCTTGCGGCTGGTACCATGCACGCATGGCACGCGGCATCCAGTCTCTCTCCTTGCATTACCGGAGGGGTGCGATGGGGATGGAGGTCACCGTAGGCTGCTCCAGCCTGACCCTGGGTCTTGCTGTCACTGCAGGCTAACCACAGTGGTGCTGGTGGCCATCAGCGTGGTGTGGATCCCCATCCTGCAGAGCTCCAGCGGCGGGCAGCTCTACATCTACATCCAGTCCGTGACCAGTGCCCTCGCCCCACCCGTCACAGCCGTCTTTGCCCTGGCGGTGTTTTGGAGACGGGCCAACGAGCAGGTGAGCTGAGCGCTGTGGTGCAAGGGGCACTCTGGGTCACCGGGTCCTGGACCTCCAGGCCAGAAAGGCCCTCTAGATTCATTCACTTGGACCTGAATAACAGAGTCTCACATCTGCCTCGAATGCCCGTGGTGCTAGCTGAGCTAGAGCAGGCCTTTAGAGAGATGCCATCCCAGATCCTGGTCCCATCTCTCAGGGCTGTTATGCTGACGGCAGTGGTTGCCGCCAGGGGGGTGGCTTGGATCCGTAGACCTCCTAAAGCAGGGCTACGCGGGTCAGGTCCTCTGTAGCGGACAGTGAGTCTCAGTCTCCACTTCTGAGTCCATATGCAGCCAACTGGTTCCCAGGTGGAGCCTTTCTCCACCCATGTAGCATTGCCCTGTGTGCCCTGGCCTTGGTCCTCCTTCCCTGGCAGAGGGAGGATGGGCAGAGCTGGATGGGCAGAGCTCCCTTGTCTCTGGCTCTTGCCGTGGGACACCTACATGGCTCTTGCATAAGCCTGGACGTGGCTGTAATAGCTGCGCGCTGCCCTAACCTCATCTCCTTGTATAGCAGGGCTTGTCGGGACGGTTGGTTTGCTGCCATTGGTAGCTAAGTCTCACTGTGCCTTGGGTCTACCTCAGCACTCATTAAAGTAGCCTGGTCCCCATGGCTTTCCCCTTACGGTAGCACCAGCAGGAAGCTGTCGGGTGGTGAAGGCATCGCCGTGCATCTAGACGCACCAGACTCAGGGGCAGCTTGATGAGCCTTAGAGGCTCCTGTATTTGTGAAGACCCACAAGTCGGTAGCCGCTTCTTAGAGCAGTGCCGAGGGCTTCGGAGATCGTGCTCGTCTCCGAGATTTGGGCTGTTGCGTCAGGGATTTCAGACGTGTCCTGTTTGAGGAACCGAGCGCCGTTGCCCTGACGGCCAGAGGAGACTCTTCTCGCCCACGTTTGAAAAAAGCCCCAGCGGGGTGGGGGTCCCAGGAACTGGTGGGTGGCTCACATGCCGCTGACAGCCGGGCCCGAGCCAGGTGCCGATGTGCATCGCTGCCCAAGTGCAGCACGCCGAGCCATGACCTCACTCACCTCCCGGCAGCCGAGTTGACACGGAAAGTCCCCTCGGGTCCAGACACTGCTGTAGCAGAAAGCAACCTGGCCAGGGCCAGAAGGCAGCTGGGTCTTATTTGGCCCGTGCCCGTGTGGTAGCTCCCAGCTGAGAACAAGTCCCCATGAGCCCCAAAGACCTGTCGCTCTAAACAGGCCCCAGAAGTGCTGCTGTCTCCGATGGGCAGCTGGGGTTAAGTAACGTGCCAAGGTCACTTGGGAAGTCGGTGGCACAGCAGGGACTTGAACCCAGCCTCCTGGTGCCTCGTTCCTCACCTGACTGGTGGCTGCCCTGCTGTCCTTCCACGGATGGAGACCGCGATGGAGACCTGACCGGCTGCCTGCCTGTCGTTGTGTTGCAGGGAGCTTTCTGGGGCCTGATGGTGGGGCTGGCAGCCGGCCTGGCCAGGCTGGGGCTGGAGTTTGCTCACCCCACGCCGCGCTGTGGCATCTCCGATGAGCGCCCCTCCATCCTGAGGGACATCCACTACCTGCACTTTGCTGTCCTGCTCTGCGCTCTCACGGCCGTCGTGGTGGTGGGGGTCAGCCTGCTGACCGACCCCCCCATGGAGTCCCAGGTGAGCCCCGGTGCTTGGGGACATCCCCCCGAGCCACATGGCATGTCCCCAAGGATCAGCTGGACACAAGGGCACCCCATCCCCTCCCTGCTCAGCTTTGCAGGGGACGGGGCAGCCTCCAGAGCACGTGCACCTCTCCGGGACGCCGGCACATCATAGGTGCCAACAGGAGCCCCCGGCCGCTGCCCCTGGGCAAACCTTAGCCTCACGCAGCACCAGCAGCTGGTAGCTCAGCTGCGTCCATCCCTGCTGTTCTCTGCTTTCCTCCCTGACCTAGTGGCCCTCTTGCTGCATCTCCTGCTTTAGTTCAGAGCAGCAGGTCTCTGTCCCCTTGGGACATTCCCACATGAGCACGGGTGCTGCCGGGGAGGAAGCTGCCTTGAAGTTACTTCTCAAGAAAGAAACCCAGGGTGAAAGTCCGAGCTGGGGAGTTCCAGCCCCGTCCTCCAACCCCAGAACGGATCGTGCCTATGAAACTAGTTTAATCCTCTTTCCCGTGCCCGGGTCCGGCCGCTGTGTGCTGAGGCCAGGTGCTTTGTGCTCCAGCAGGGCTGGTGTCTGCAAAGACTCGCTGAGCCGTGCCTGCCGGCAGGGGCTCAATCCCCCCTGGGGTGCTTCCTTCCCCCTTTGATCGGCAATGAAACCTCTTTGCTGCAGCTCCCCCCCCACCCCAGTCCTCATCTGCTGTGTGGCCATGAGATGGGGCCTCAGAGACATGAACCCCCCCAACCTGCTGGCCTCTGTGTGAGCTGGGGGCCCCCCTGCAAGGAGAGGAATCACCAGGGCTTACGTGTCTTACAACCCCTGGTGACCGGGGGGTTGTGTCATCAGAGGCTCCTATTGAAGCTCTTTAAAGGGACCCGGATTTTATAGGGCATCAGCCCTCCTGCCCCTCTTGCAGCAGTGGGCACCAGCCTGGCAGGGCGAGCGGCTTTGCCTTCAGCCCCCCTGAGCTCCCTGTTCTCGTTCCAGGTCCAGAACCTCACCTGGTGGACCCTTTCCCAGCGGCGCCCCGCACCTTCCCCGGCCAAGGTGTTGGCGGGGAATGGTTCGTTGCGGAGAGGGAAGGAGGGTAGGTGCAGCAGGGGGTCCAGGGGGGGGTGGATGTTGGGGCTCAGACACTTCCCAAGTCCAGGGGCACGTGCAGGCGGGGGCCATCCTGAGTCTCAGCCCCCGCGGCTATGCTCTGGAGACAGCCGTGGCCAGCCCCTGGGTGTGGGAAGTGCAGAGGGGGTGGGCTCAGTGGCGCCTGCCCCCTCCCAGGTCTCTCTCCTTCTGCCACAGGTTCCCAGGAGGGGTCTCCCTGGAGCTGTCCCTGCACGGACTGCATGTCCTGGCCCCGGGGGGTGACGGCCGAGGGACCCCCCGCAACAGCCCTGAGGGACACCACAGAGACCCCTTTCTGGTCCAGCATCTGCTGTATCAATGCCATCCTCCTGATGTGCATCAATGTCTTCTTCTATGCCTATTTTGCTTGACTGTCCCCTGCTCAGCCAGGCTGGGGCTGGGACGCGCTCAGGAGCCTGGGAGGGAGGCTGCCAGGCCGCGGGGGCGGGGGGCAGGTCGAGGGAACCGTGCTTCTCTCAACTCCCTCTGGGCACTGGAGGGGTTTGGAGCCAGGGAGCTTGTCCATGGCCCTGTCGGGGCTGCCAGGGGCACCGTCCTCAGAGACCCCAGAGGCTCTCAGTGTTTGCTTCGTACTACTTTCATAGATTCATAGATGTTAGGGTCGGAAGGGACCTCGATAGATCATCGAGTCCGACCCCCTGCATAGGCTTTGGAGCCAGGGCGGTGTCAGGCAGCGTGAGGACCCAAGGGATCGATGCCTGGGGTGACTGGGGAGATCACCAGGACTGTTCTGCCCTGGATACAAACCCCATTCATTGCCCCCAGCCCTCTTGGGAGCCCGGGGCTCCCCCGTCCTGCATGGCATGCCTGGTTCTTTGTACGTGACCCTTGAAGGATGGAGCTGGGGGGTCTCTGGGAGTGAAACCCTGGGTCTGCTCTGGGTACCACTGCCGTCCTGGAGCTGGTGAGCACTGCAGCCAGTCTTCTCCGAGCCCTTCTCCTTCACTCGCCCCCTTGTCTCGGGGCAGACGGAGGACACGGGCTTTGGTGCCTTGAATTAAATGCTGCAAAGATGTTGGATGGACTGGGAGTTTCTCTGAAAGCAGAAGCCCGCGCTAGCTAGCTGCTCCCCCATCCCTTGCTGGCTCCTTGCCCATAAAGCTATAGCTAGAGCGTAAAGCAGTGGGTATTAGCTGGCGCTCTTGCCTGCTCTGGCTTCGTGCTGCTTTGAACTTCACCGTGCAGCTGGGCAGGGAGCCTCGTGGGGTGGGAGACCAGTCCGTGGGCTGCCTCGTTGGGGCAGTGTGGGCTTGGCTTGTGGGGCTGAAGCTCACAGCCAGCCCCAGCCCCATGGGTAGCAGCCAGGCCAGCTCAGGGGCTTCCTGTGGCTACAGGCACGTTTCTTTATTGCTGTGAAAGCCATCGCAAGCCTTCCTCTGCCAACCAGACCGAAGCTGGTTCAGTGATCACTGCAGCTCCGGCTTCCAGCTTGGCTCTCACCCTGGTCAGCAGGGCCCTGCGGGGTCATGTGCGCTGGGTATCCGTGAGGACAGCAAAGGGGCATCAATCTCTTGCTTCCTTCACTGACAGGTGGGACCAGGCTCGGGCTTGACATGCATGGGGTCTCCCCAGGGTGAGAGCTCAGCTGGTGGACATGGGGCTTTCACCTCTGCCTGCCCACCCATGTCTGGCCTGGGTCAGCAGGGACACCGGAGGGGCAGGGAGAACAAGTGGGGCCTGAGCTGGGGGCGCACCTGTCTGGGGGCGTTGGGTGAGAGAAGGGTGGGAAACCCAACTTAGATGTGCCCCTGTCTCTGGCAGGCATGCTGGGCTGGGGCACTGAAGCCCCCCCAGGGGCAGTTCAGTTCCTCTCTCTCCCCCATGGCATGAGATCTGGGAAGGGGAAGGGGCTGGGTCGAGAACGTGGCCAGGCAACTCGGGGAATGCTGCCCGGCAGCTCTGCAAGTGTCCGGCCACCGGTTAGCCTGGATCAGCAGCCCTCTGACACACCTCCCTGTCCCCCCCAGGCCGGCAGCTGAGAGCCAGGGGTGCCCTGCACCGGGGAACAGCCCAGCCCCTCCCCAGGCAGGGTCAGATAGCTCGCAGTGCTTCAGGGAGCAGCTGGGGACTGCGGTTAGGCCTTTTTATTGTGCACAGTGCCTGGCGTGCGGCTTGGCCCCTTGCTAACAGGTGTGAAGACAGAGTTTCCTGCCCTGAAAAGCTCACGGTTGAGAGACACGGGGGTGGAGCAGGGAGGGAGCAGCACACAGACGCAGCCAGAGCCGCCGCATCCAGGTTCCCACTGGGGTGTGGGTCAAGCGTCTGCCAGTCCTCAGCCAGAGGCAGCTCCAGGGGTGCAGGGGTTTGGCAGGAGGCGCGATTCACAGCAGGGTCCAGCATGCCCCAGTCTGGCTGTAGCGCCGGGAGAGGTCCTGGGCTCTCCGATGCCAGGTGACTCGTCTCCCACAAGCTCTGCGTCAGCTCCCGGGCTGCTCAGTCTGTCCGTGGGGTACCGAGGGAGTGGTACCGGGGGGTCCCCCCAGCCGGTCACTTGTGGACGGGGTGTACGTAGTTCCGGGGGAACAGGCCGACCCGCCCGTAGATCTTCCCTTTCCACCAGTTGGGGTCGGGGCAGTCGAGCACCTCGATGATGTCCCCACGGTAGAAGGGCAGCTGGGACTCATCGTGGGTAGAGAAGTCGAACTGGGCCTGGACGAACTTGGGCTTCCTTGCCTGCAGCGACACGGGGCGAGACGTGCGTCAGGAGAGCCAGGAGGCTCGAAATCCAGGCGGGTGAGCGCAGCTTCCTCCCACCCCGGATGGACACAGCAAGGAGCCCGGTTTGCCCTGCTGATGGCTGGCACGGATCCCCCACCCCTGCCCGCTTGCCACCTCCGTGCCCCCTGCCCTGGGAATCCCAGTGCTGCGCCCCAGCCTGGCAGGGTGTGGGCGTCCACAATTATGGGTCAGGACTCATGGTGTTTTCTCGGACGGGACTGGGGGTGGGGTCTGAGTTCGAGTCTGGGGCACCCTGTTGTTCTCGCAGGCCACGCACAAGACCCGCAATGCACGGCAGCTTGGAGTGGTGCGCTGCAAGGGCTGTGGCTACTGTGATCGTGTGCAGGCACAGACGTAGGCTGCGAACACGCATGTGAATGCTGTGTGGGGACACGCTGACTCCTATTCGATGGGCAGGGCACAGCTGCATAGACTGCAGCTCGCCACGCCACACCACACCATGCCATGCCATGCCACGTTTCCCCCACGCGCCCTCGTACCTCGTGGGGTGGGTTGTCGTCCCTCAGGAAGACCTGCTGCTTCTTGGCGATGGTGGTCGTCCGGTAGAAGTCCACCAGCTCGTTCAGGGAGTTGAATTTCTCCTCCCAGAGGAAGTACTTGCCGTTGCGCTCCCGGAGCACCTTGAAGTGCTGGACGTTGTTCCCGTAGCTGAGGGCAGATGGAGACGACAAGGCGGTTATCCTCAGAGGGGAGGGCATCATCGAGACCACTGCTACAGTGCCTTACACAAGACATCTCCGCTATGCCTCCACGGGACTCACGCCCCCTGCCCACGCCCCCAGCTCTCTTTGACCACCATGGATGAGGAAGGGAGGATGATGCACAGAGAGATGAGGTGACTTGCCCGGGGCCTCCTGGTCAGTCTGTGGCAGGGAAGGCACTAGCACCCTGCTGCGATCATTCGCCTGCGTAAGCCATTGGCAGAGGGGGAAACCCTGGGTCCTGCTGAGAGAGCCACCCAGCCCCTCCGCACGAGGGACTGCCCTGTTAACGCCAGGACAGACAAATGAAGGCTGTGAGTAACGCTCTAGCAACAAGTACCCCATCCCCAGGGCCCACGCTGGGCAGGGGATTAACCAGCTCCCAGCAGGGCTGAGATCAGTGCCTCGCTGTGTACAAATGCACCTGCGTCTGCTTGTAGCCAGGGCCCGGGGGGTGACGGATGAGGAGGACTGAGGGTCTCAGCGTTAGGGAGCAGCATTGGTGGCTGCGGACAGAGGGTATCTCATCCGGTGTCAGGAATCGGGTCTGTGTCTGTGCCCAGCCCTGGGCTGATCCCAGGGGAGATGGCCCAGCAGCTCCCACGAGGCCGGCTGCCCCCACGTTCAGACATCCAAGCGCCGGGGGAGCCGCGAGCAAGCTCTGGAGCGCTGAGCTCCTTCGGCAGGGAATGGGAGTGAGGGACCACGAGCTGGATGTGTCCCGTGGTCTGTGGGGAGTGATGGAGGCGGCAGCCAGGCAGGGCTGTGCCAGCACCTGAGCTGCCCGCAGCAATGCCCCGGCGGGGGGGCGGGCCACATGCTCTGGGGCCAGGCATTGCCCGTCCCCCAAGCCTGAAAGCCACCCTGGGGGGCTCCGAGCTCAGACCCAAGCTGGTCCCGTTGTGCCCCCACGGGGTGAGGGGCAGCCCAGGGGTCTGCGGGGCTGGCCTGTCTTCCCCCAGCGGGGCACATAAGTTGCTGCTAAGCCTCCTGCATCCCAGGCTGAGGCCCAGCAGGCTCATGGCACGTCCCAGGCTGTGCTCCTGGCTACAGGAAAACAGGGAGAAGCTGATGTTCGGACGGGAATGCCCTTGCCGGAGGGAGGCAGAGGGCAGGGGAGGCTGGGCGTGCAGGGGGGAGGATTGAAACCAGATCCCCAGGGCTTCCTGCGAGTCCACTCCTGGGCTCTGCAGCTGGTCCATGGCCCCTCCGCCCCCGGTTTGTGCCCGTATCAAATCAGTTGTGACCCAAGCGCTGGGGAAGGGGCTGAGCCCCATCCTAACCGGGCTGCCCAGCTGGGAGGATTCGAACCAGGGAGATGGAGCAGGCCTCGTCCTGCCAGGGCAAGGAAGAGTTAAGAGGTGCCTGAGCCCTAGCTATCGCACAGGTGTGTGGTATCGCACAGGTGCAAGGCACCAGGAGGGCGGAGGCAGGGCTGGATAAAGAGGCTGCAGTGCAGGCGGCTGTTTTTGGCTGGGCCTGGTGAGAGGGGCTGGCCCTCCCCAGACTGTCCTGGGCTTCCTGCAGCCCCGGGCAGAGGTGACGGTCCCCAGCCAGGGGGATGCGAGCTCCGAGGCGGGTGCAGGCGTGGGTGGCTTTGCACGGCTCCGAGGCCACAAGCAAGGAGCTGTGGGCAGAGCCGTGGGCCTTGGCGCATCCTCCGAGTCATCTCAAAGCCGGGCGCGTGCCGGGGCCTGGTCTGGAGCCTCGGCTGGGGCTTCCCGTGACTCCCCAGGGCCTCTGGCTCGAGTGCCTCCGCCCAGCTCTGCCCTTGCGTGCTTTTCCCAGTAACCAGGCTGAGCCGTGGGTGTGAAGGGCGGAAGCTGTGGCTGCAAAGGGTGGCTTCAGCCAGCAGCTCGGTGCAGCTTGGCTGCACAACCCCGTGCCCAGGGCCTGCTCGTTCCTCCTGGGCTCTGCAAGGGACGAGGCTGCGCAGCAGGGGACGGGCTGGGCGCTGGGGACCGGCTAGGCAGGGCCTCGCCCAAGGCATCGGGTCCAAAGCACCGAGCTCTCATCCTGTGGGCGATGCGGGAGCTCCTCTCTTGGCTCCGTGCAACTCTCTTGGCACCAGGCGTGGTTGCAAACCCTGGTTCCTGCCATCAGGTGATTTCCTAGAAGCCGCGGCAGCAAGAACAAACAATCCCATGTTTTAATGCAGGGTAAAACCCTGCTCCATCCATCTCTGTTGCCTGCATCTCTCCCAGCGAGTGCTGCCCCGGGCTCTTTCTTGCAGGGCACGTCTGCTTCCAAACACCGTCAGCGCAACAGCTCCCATCACAGCCCCCAGCCGCTCTCCCCAGGGGCCAGGGCTTTGCTTCTGCATTTGGGGCACTTTCACTTGGTTTTGTGGTTGGAAGTCATCTTGTTTTTGCATTACTGATTTTTTTTTTTTTTCTTTTCTTTTTTTCTTCTGCTTTGGGTACACCCTCCTGAAAGTGCCAGCTCCTGGAGGCCTGGGAACGGACATGAACTGGGGCTGGTATTTGAAAGGTGGCAGGATGTCTCTGGACCCTGCAGACAAGCCGCTTAAAATAGGCCCGGAGTGAAGCTTCAAGGCTCAGAAACCCAAAGGCAACTCTCCGTTCAGGCGTGTTGTATGTTTAAAAGGAGTGGCTGATCCTGAAGCGAGCCGCAAGGCTCCAGGCCCTTGCGTTTGGGGCGTGCGGGAATGCTCTGGCTGGACATAGTCCGCCTCAGGCCTGTGAGCCTGGTATCCTGCATCCGCTGTGGTCCAACGTGGATGCTGTCTTTGGCATCGTTGCCCCTTCACCCTGCTATGTGTGGTCTTGGCGTCTGGGCGATGGGCCGCATCTTTCCCCCACGTTCCCAGGGGAGCCTTAGTGGGATGCCCACAGAAACCCTTGTACTGCAGGGTCATGCAGCCTCCCATGGTCTGGCAGGTCTGAGCACATCTGCCCGGTCCCTACAGCCATCCTGGCAAGGGCAGTTGCCCTGGGAGGGCTGAGCTGAGCTCCTCTCCTCCCTGGGCTCTGATCTTGGCTTTCCTTGGTCCGTGTGCACGAGCCAGCCCCCCTTGGCCACCCACACCCGTCTCCTGCAAGGGGAAGGCGCTGGCTGCTCCTTTTCTTTCTGACTCCATGTGGGGCATCCGGGAGCCTCCTTAAGCACTTAATGAGAGACCAGGCAGCGTGAGAACCGAACCGGCTGGAAAGCAGCCAACTCCCTCTGCCTCAGTTGGCAGGCTGCCTGTGGATTAGGGACCTGCGTGCATGCACACGTGTGCGTGTGTATGCGTGTGGCCGGCTTGAGGAGGGGCCCCCCCAACCAGCCCAAGGGGCTGGGACACCAGGTCCCTTTGATGGCTGGGGTTCCTCCGGGACAAGGGCCTGGCTCGTCCCCAGGCGCTGGCTGGCGAGGAAAACCCCGGGCTGGTGAGCATAGCTGGGCCGGGGGCATCTCAGGGGAGGCAGCAGGAAGGCTGCACAGGCCTTGCCCACGACGTGCCGAGCTCGTGTCTAGTCCACCTGTGTCTGGACCACCTGCATCTAGTCCACCTGCGGTGCAGCTGTGCCAGACGGGGATGTACCCAGCCCCTCTGGCACAGCCCAGCTGGATCCCTGCAGCCAGTGCCAGCCCCCATGTCACGAGCGCCCGGGGAGCAGGATGAAGAGCCAAACCCCTGCAGCAAAGGGTGCCAAGAGGCATTGCCAGGTCCCAATTCCAGCTTAAGTCTAGGCTTGCCCCTGGCTGGGAAATGGGTACAGGTGCCTGTCGGGCGGGGGGGTCAGTCACGCTGCGGCAGGGGGGTCTAGCGGTGGTAACCTCCGGGCAGGGTGTGCAGCTTGACCCCCCTGCTCTGCTCAACGCGGGCGCCCCCGCCAAGCCTGTGGCAGGCAAGGCCACAGCCTAGCGATGAGCAGGGGCCGGCAACTTACTTGACGGAGATGGAGAAGTCTCCTGGGGCGCTCTCGCTCTCACGGATCAGGAAGGCTCCCAAGTGCTTGCGCTTGAGCAGCATCTCCTCGGCCAGGTGCCTGGAGATCCGGCCCGCGTACCACCTGCAGGATGCACAGAGCCGGGGCTGAGCGGGCGGCTGGTGTCTTCTCCCCACCCCACACCCAGTGTCAGGGCTGCTCGGTCTCAGCCCTGCCTGCCCCTCTATTGCTAGATAGTGCCCGGTGCCAGAGCCTGGATGGGACCCTGCGTGGAGAGGGTCTCTGCGCTCTCCACTTGCACCCGCTGCTAACAAAGCAACGCCGCGGGGATGGGGCAGTCTCTGGAGGGAAGGAGACCGCAGCATGGCTCCAGTCTGGCAGTGAGCTTCAGCCTTGTGATCTCCTCCCTCCCCTGCCCGTGCATGCCTGTGGTCGCCGGCGCAGCCCCGTGCGCTAGGGTGTCGTGTCAGCAGTCAGGCTTGCTTCCCCCCTGCGGCGTCCTGCACTTTCAGGGCTGCAAAATGTGGTTGCGGTGGATCTAGACGGGCCTCACGTGGGAGCTGCTGAATTAGGGTCAGGTGGGGGATGTGGCCCTAAGCCGGGAGGGGGCAGGGGGTCTGCCAGGGGGAGCAGGACTGTCCCCTTGACCCCACCGCTCACATAGGGCACTGCTCAGGGTCACTGGCTTTCCTGGAGAAGGGGCAGGGCGGCTGCAGGGAGAGGCCAGGGGGTGGTCTGCGGGGCAGGGACAAAGCAGCAGGGCAGGGGACCAGAGCTGAGGCCAGGTAAACGGGAAGGGGGTTTCACCCACAATTTGGGCCTCAATCCGCCTGTTGCTGCTCCGGGCACAGGATGGGTGAAGCCAGCTCTGGCCCAAGGGTGGTAGAGACCGGCCGGAGGCAGGGACCATTCCCAGCTGCTTGGTGTCGGCTGCATGGGGTGATGCCCCTCGAGCTCCCCCATGGCATCCGGGCACCCTGGCATGAAGCTAAGCCTGAGCTCTCGTAGCAGCCGTGCCGCCTGCTTGCCCTCTTGCTCTGCCATGGTGCAGGCCCGGGGGCCATGGCTTCCTGCCAGGTATTTGGTACGAAAACACCAGCGCCTTGAGCACCTCCAGGTGACTCACCCGAGGGCAGAAAGAGCATCGGTGTCGGAGGCAGGATACGCTTCCCACTGCAAGATCTAGTGCTGAGCCAATCCGGCCAGGCCTGGCTGAGGTCATGACCGAACCCCCCATGACGTGCCCACCACGTGTGGCCAAGCCGTGGGGGCATCACCAGCTTTAAAGCAGCCCCGGTGCCCTGCGTGGTGCAGGGAGTGTCCGTGGGACTGCCCCTCGCACCTGGCCTGGGGGGCACTAGGAGGAGGAGACTCCTCTCTCTACCTCTCCACCCTGTTTGCTAGGAATTCACATTGCAGCTGCAGCCACATCCTGCCGCCCACGCCTCCGCTGTGCTCAGTGCCGCCCTCTTCCCCACAGGTCCGCCTGGGCCCCAGCTCCCGGGAGGGCTGTGGCGTGGAGGCACGTGAGTCTGTGGCACAGCACACACACTGGCAGAGCCAGAGGCTGCCTTTCACGGGCCCCTTCCTGCTCCCGAGGCTCCTTGCTCCTGCCGTGGTCCACCCCTCGCTGCTCGGCGATGCATCACGCCTGAGCCCAGCCTGCCCCGTGCCCCGCGGGGAGCCAGGGATGCCTCGTGCTGATCTGGCTATGGGCCAGCAGGGACCTGTCCTGAGCTAGGGGATCCTCAGCTGGGCTCGTCGTGTCGCTCTCGGGGCTCTCTGCGCGTCTCTCTGCCCGGACTGCTGTTGCGTGACCGGGCTGGGATGCCTTTGCTCACACCGCTCGGGGTCTCAGGCTGCATTACAGACAGACCAAGGCTCTGTGGCCTGGCTCTGTCCCTGAGGAAGCCAGAGTACAGGGCCCAAGTGACTCTCCCCTGGCTCTGGGGCACATCGCTGGGGCACGGGGTCTCAGATGCAGCCCTGGCAGGACATCCCCATTGCGTCCTCCAGCCGTGCTGGAGCTGGAGGCAGCGATTCTCAAGCCAGGGGGGCAGACACAAGTTGTGGGGGGTGATTTGGCTCCGTCCAGCCCCGATGTCAATGGGGTGCTGCTTCACCAAGGGGACCCTCTGCCTTCCCCCCAGTGCTGAGGCCTGCTGGACGCAGTTGTCCAGAGGTCATGGTCCACAGCAGCGGGGCGGCTCGTTCCCTGGGATCTGGGGCTTCCTGCCTGCCTAGAGCCCCGGGGCTGGCGGGGCGCCGGGAAGGTACTTACGGGTGCGGCTTGACTTTGATGTAGTTCTTTGGGACGAAGCCTTCGGAGCCGTACAGCTCGGCCTTGTACCAGTTCTGGTCATCCTCCATGTTCAGGATCTGAGGACACAAGGGAGCCCACCATGCCGTTAACCTGCCAGTCCCTCCTTGATGCCCTTCAGACCCAGAAAACACCCTCCCTGCCCAGGCACCCGCCCGCCCTGGGGAACAGGCCGGCTCAGAGCAGAGCCGCTCAGCCTTGGGGGCTTGCCAGCTGGGTTAAAACAGCTGGGTTTGCAAAAACTGCTTGCCTTTGAAGACAGGGGTTCATTCCCACTTCATCCCATGGGTATTATGACCCCCTCGTCTTTTTAAGAGTCTCGATCTTCCACCAATCAAGCCATCCTTGGTTGTGCTCCGCTGCTGTCTGTTTGCTGCTCCTGGCCACGGAGCTCCTATTTCACAGCCCTGCAGGCTGGTTTGGACTCATTTCAATGACCTTTGAACTCATTTCACAGCAGAGCCATGCCAGCTGAGAGCGGCCTGTGCTAGGGGAGCTCTCTGCTATGCTCGCACGAGCATGTATTTTCCTTACTGAAAAGAGGCCAACAGAGGTGCAGGGGTGGAGGCCCAGGTGTGGGCTCAGCCAGGCCCCTCTGCTTAAGAGAAGAGGAGGAAATGCACGCCCCCCTCCGAAAATAGAAACGCTGACGCCCAGTCGAGCCCTGGTGCTATTTTCCAGCCCTCCTACGCAGCGGGGCAGCACAGCTGTGCAAACAGGATCTGAAACCTCGCGCTGCCGGCGAGCTGCTGCTCCGGCGGACGGTGTGGGAAGAGCTGCCCGAGGCTCCTCTGGTAAACAGCCCGGTCCGTTCTCCCTAGCTGGCTGCCCCGAGCACTTGGCCCCCCGGGCATGAGGGAGCTGGTTGGCACGGAGCAAAGGGCTACCCTAGGGATGGACCTGCCTGGAGAAACGGGTCCACAGATGGCTCTAGGTGGTGATTTCTCCGGGTCGTGAAGTTAATGCACATCGGTCCAGGGGCAAGTTCAAGTAGCCGGCGCGTGTCCGCTCCCCTGCGCCCACAGCCAGCTCCACATGCAGTGTGTGGTGCGGTCTTACCCTCAAGTGCCATTGAGATCCGCATTTCACCGAGTGGGAGACGGGGGCACAAAGCGAGGAAGGTGCTCGCCCCAAAACCAAAGTCTGGGGCAGAGCTGGGTAGCAACCCCTGGGCTGCCGAGTTCCTCTTAGCCACATGCCCATCTCTTTGTCTCACACTCCCCTGCTCGGAGGACTATTTCTGGCCTGTTTGTTCGCACAGGATCTACAGAGCTATTGCTGGATAGGAAAGCAAAACCTTTAGGGCCAGAAGTGTGAGGCAGCCGCATTGATTATCCGTGATGGGGCAAAGCATCAGTTTGGTTCCCCATAGCAGGAGGGAATCTGTCTTTTAAGGCCCCTCTGCCTTGGTCTTCTGGCAGCGTTGGCTTCGGGAAACCCGGGGAACATGTGATGTGAGAAATGTCCTGTCCAAAATCACACCTGCCTAACAGGAGTGTGAAAATCTGGCCGGTGTTGCGTCTGGGCAGATTGCAGGAGAATCCAGGGCCCCACCGGAGAGCCGAGCCCGGTCGTGTTACGTGCCGTACGGGCGCACAAGACACCATCTCTGCCCTGATTCCCACTTAAGACAAAGGATGGGGGGAAAGGACCCGAGGGTTTAAATAACTTGTCCAAGGTCGCTAAAGGAGGTTGAACTCGCATCTCCTGGGTGCCGCCAGGCTGCCTTCGACGTTAAGCCTCTTTTAACCCAGAGGAGCTGAGCTGGGTTGCACGATACGGGTACCAGACTCCCCCGGACCTGACACAGGTCCAGGTCTGGACTCTGGGGCTGGCATTGCCCCCAGGGGGGCTGGCAGCCAGCCCCTGTCCCCTGCCAGGGCAGCACTGGGCCCAGATCCATGCCCTCCCTGCCGGACAGAGCGCTGCATGGCCAGTGCTCGCGCAGGGACCCCAGGGGTGTTTCGGCCAGGGGGGTCTGTGTTGGGAGGTGAGGCCTTGGTATGCCGTGTGCCATCCCACTGGGGCTCATCTGCCCCCCTGGCTTCCCCCACTGCCCAAGGGTGTCTCTTTCTTTCACTGAGGACTCAAACCCACACTCAGGGTCTCCATCCTCTGTGCAGCGGGGACCTGCGAGCTGGCCTGGGGGCACCCATGCAGCCTCAGGTGGGGCAGCCTGCCCACCCCTTGCCCAGGAAACCCATGCCCCCAGACCTACCTTCAGTGTGTCGCCCTTATGGAAAGGCAGCTCGTCCTTCTCGGTCGTCTGGAAGTTGTACAGAGCCACGGACTCCATCCTCCGGCTGCAGAGCCGAGCCCTGGGATCCCAAGTCCCTGGCCCCGTGCCACCTCGACCCCTCTCAGTCGCCCCCCGTCGCAGTGGGGCTGCGCCCCGGGCACGGCTGGAGGAGAGCCCAGCTGGCGGCTCACATAAGGACTATGCAGCTTTCGCTTCCTGCTTCTTGGGCATCTGTTGCGTAGCCTGGCGCTGCGCCGTGTGAGCGTGTCTTCCTGCAGACACCAGACAGGAAGAGGCCAGGGTGTCACCAGGGGCGGAGGTGGGGGGAGCGCCTCCAGGAGATGGAAGGTGAGAGGTGACGTGCGAACTTGAACCTGGTTGGGGGTGCAGGGACGGGAGTGGGGCTCGGGGCCAGGACTCCTGGGTTCCTTTCCCACTTCCACCGCGGCCGCCTCCAGGCCTGGCCCAGAGCCCCCTGGACTGAACGAGGAGGCTCCTGTTGGCTTCCCTGGGAGCTGGAGCGGGCCCTGAGTCCAAAGCCTGCGCGAGCCTCAGTTTCCCTCCCTGTAGCAGAGGGTGATGGGTGGGACATGTAGCACCCCACCGGAAGGGACAGGGGCAGGGCTGAGTTCGGGGAGTCCTGTGCCCCAGGCCTTCGGAGGAGCAGGCAGAAGCAATGGGAAGGGCCAGGGATTGGGGGCCTGACCTGGGACTTGGGAGAGCGAGGCTGTTTCTCTGCCACTGCCCCCCTGCGGGGCCACAGGCAAGTCACTTAACCCCCCGGGGCAGCTCCAGGGCTGCCGCCCCTCTCTCCATCTCCTGGGATCATGTCTGAGGCTCAGCCGTGCCAGGGCTCGCGGCCCCTCCCTGCCTGGGGTTCCCCCTCCCTGTGCCCTGCGCTGCCTGCCCTGAAGGATGCATGCAGATCCCGGGTAAGCCCACAGAAAGGTCCTCACGGGGAGTCAGCAGTACCTGAGCCGAGCCTCTTGCCGTGCTTTGCTGATGCCAGCCCGCAGCCGTCTTGCTCCCGGGCCCGGAGCCCCCGGCCTCACCCTGCCAGCCCGGGCCGTACCAGGGCTCCTCGTGGCAATGACGCCTTTTCCTGCCAGGCTTATCAGCCGTGAGCAAGAGTCACAGGAAGCACCTGGAGCCGGCGCGGAGCGGGGGGGCTGGGTGGAAGCTGAGACAAAGGTGCAGCAGGCTGGAGCACAGCCCGGACGCCGATAGAGGGGCACAAATGGTCCCCTCCGGCTGCCCCGCTGGGGGGTCTGTGGCTGGAGGAGACCCAAGCCTCCTCTGTGGCCCAGCCCGGTTTATTTGCAGAGGGTGGGCACAAATGCCTCCTTCACAGCAGCCGGCAGCTCCTCGCTCCCGCTGGGCTCCCCAGCACCATGCCTGTCCGAGCAGCTCCATCTCTCTGTGGCCTCTGACGGCCACCCGGCCCTTGGGCCGATGCCCCTACTGCGTCCTGCTGTCACCGGGCGTGTCGTGGCTCCTTCCACCTGGCTTGGATGCAGGCCGCTCAGCCGTTTGGCTTGCAGCAGGTGTGTGACTCTGCACAGCGAAGACCGGTGCAGGGACCCGGTCCAGTTTGGCATCCCCTCGTGCCGCTGTGGTGCCCCGCTGTGGTGCCCTCCGGCCCTATGAGCTCCTGTGATACCAACTCCATGGCAATGCTGAGAGCCCAGATGCGTCCAGAACCAGCCCCAGGGAGCCACGGCTGGGCAAGGCTGCTAGGACGGCATTGCCCCCTCCTGGCACCAACAAGGCACAGCTTGCTCTCCACTCCCTCTGCCCCTTCCTCCTGCCACATGCACTGGATGGGGTCGGCCGGAGGCCAGACCGGGCTTGGTTTCCCACCGTCCCCCACCCCATCCCACCCACAGTTGTTTGCAGGTGCCCACAGGAGCGGCAGGTAGGCTGCTGCCCTCTGCTGACTGCTTGGGTCGGTCTGCAAGGCACCGGCAAAGCAAGCAGATGCCGCCCATCCACCTGCAGCTCTCAATCCAGCTGCCATGCACCCTGGGGTGCCTCAAGTCCTTTCCAGGGTGCCACGCAATGCCAGCGCTGCAAGGTGTGCCAACGCGATTCCTGAGATCAGCCCACACAGGCATCCCGAGAGCTGATAGTCTCCTGCCTGGCGGGGAGCCCTCGCAGCTCTCTGCAGCACAAGGACGGCCCTAGGATGCTTCTGCAGTCAAAAAGCAAGTGAAAACGGGGATCTGGCTTTCCCCGAGGGGGCCTCGAGTCCATCCGGGGGGGGGGCTCAAGTTTATCGAGTGTGGACAGGACTGAGAACCACTGCCATAGACGCCGCTTGCTTCCTGGGGTCGTGTGGAAGTCGGGGTGGAGCAGGCCCGGGTCGGAGCTGTGCAGGGTGAGTCATTCATGCACGGCCTCTGGGCTGCGTCCAGTCCAGCCAAGAGCGTCTCGGGTGCTGAGAGCTGAAGGCATCTGGGAGATGCCCCTCGGTCAGGGGTGACCAGCAGGCCCGGCAGACCCCAGCCCAGCTCCTTGTGGCGAAAGCCGCCACACTCGGGCATGCCGGCCAGGTCTGCACAGCATTGCTTGGGCACAGGGAGCATCCCCAGCAAAGTCCCAGGGTACCCTGTATCGCCCAGGCACCACGATGCATCGATTCCCACTCCTGGAATACAGCCCAGCTCCAAGCCGGGGGAATAGCTCAGCCCCTGGATGGCTCCGTCTCTCCCCAGCGGGGGGCGGTGGGCAGGGATTTTGGAGATCGGAGCGCCCAGGCTGCGCTGGGCAGGGCGAGGGGCCGGGTGCTGGGAAGGGCTTTGTACAGCAGAGGGCACCCGGCCCCCGGCTGCAAACAGCTGCCTCTTGCACAAAGGCAGTTGCAGAGGCGCGGCGCGGTAGAGGTTTCCAAGCCGATGGGCCCCAGCGTGGTCCCTGCACACTACGCGGCTTCTCCTCCCCTGTTTCCCAGGGAGGAGCTGGAAGAGGAAGGGAAGAGGAAACTCTTCCTATCAGACAGACATCTCCCTGCTGCTGTCATGGGGATGCCAGGGACCGAGACTGAGCAGGAGGCTGAGGATGGCAAGAGGGACAGGAAAGTGGAGACCCTCCCTTGCATGAGAGCCACCTGGGGTCCGGGCTACGCAGGGGGGTCAGAGTGGCCCCTGGCAGCCCCCAGCTCTCCTAATCTGTCCGTGCCCCGTCGTCGGCCCCATGGTATCACCAGGGATTGTCAAGGGCCGAGCGAAGGGGATCAGGGCACGAAGGAGAAGCGCCGACCACCTGAGCTCTGACCCTGCCTGTGCCCTGTGGCCCTGCCCATGCCCACGACATGTGCACGTCCTGTGCCAGGGTGGCCCGGTCTGTACCCGCCTGGCAGCCTCTGCCAGGGACAAGCCCTGTGCCCCAGGGGACGAGGCGCAGCTGTCTGCTGTCTCTCTCTCCCCCTCCCCGGCTGCTCCCATCTCAGCTGTACCCAGCCGACCCCAGCGTCAGCCTTTGATGTCGGCTCCCAAACAGGCTCGGGGACTATTTATAACCCTGGAGCAAATGAAAGACAGATGAGGGCCCAGGACGCCCTGACCCCGATGGAGAACAGGGGCGTCTCTTTGCTGGACACAGCTGTGTCCAGCTGCTGCCAGCACGGAAATGCTGGGGTGAGCTCACAGCTGCACCCTGCCCCTGCTCAGCGCTGGGCGGTGGAAAGGCAGGACCCGCTGGTCCAGGCCAGCTCTGCTTCTGCAGCCTGAAGCGTGACCCACTCCCTGCTGCGCTCCACACTGGTTTCTTGGCCTCTTCCAGGAGCGAAGAGCCCGAGCCCACCCCTTCAGCAGGCTATAGCCAAGCCTCCAAGGCCAGGAAGCCCCGGCGGAGAGCTGTTTGCAACAGCCCTATTGATTTTTGGAGATGTTTTGCATGGATCAAAACATGCCCTCGTGCCATGCCTCAGCATCACAGCCCTACCCCAGTGAACCTGGAGCCAGGGCACAGGGCACCCAGACAGCCCCACGACCTCTGTGTGCCCAGGGTTGGGCTTCGTCGGGGTGATTATGAACCAGAAAAGGAGGCAAAAGCACCACCGAAGCCAAGAAGGAAGGTCACCTAAGGCCCTTTCCCTTGGGCTTAGACCCCAGGGGGAACATCAGGTGCTGGATCTAGGGTGCGATGAGGTGCGGTGGGTTTTCTACACGTGTGTGCACGGCAGGGACCTGTGCTTGGGCTCCTCATGCGTCACCACTCAGTTCAGGTATGAGATGCCGGAGGGAAATGCAAATGCAAAGCTCACCGACAGGGCTGCTCACCTGCAGCTCTCAGGCCCTGTAGGCAAGCAGGAGTCAGCCGGCTACCTCCTGAATGCTGCCCGGGGCTGGGCAGCCCCCAGCAAGGCGCTGGGTTTGCTAGGAGAGGCAGCAGCATCTTGCATCTTGTCTCCAGCGCCCTGCGCTGTGCCCGACTGTGGGGGGCACGGGGGACCAGGTGACATGAGGCCCTCAAGGAAGCACGTCTTCTGGGGAGCAGGGACAGGTTTCATGGGCTTCCCAGGGATGCCACGACCAGAGAGGCCACTGTGCCCGACGGCTTGGTCCTGGTGCCCACAGCAAATTAAGGAGCTGGGGAGAGCCTGGACCTCTCTCAGCTGCTGCAGCCAGTGCCCACTCCCCCATCTCCTTCCCCGGCAGGCAGAAGCAGAGCCCACAACAGAGCCCACCCTCATCAAGGGGACACTGGTTTCTCCAGCCTCGCTGTGTCCCCGGGGCTTGGGCTAGATGATCTTTGGAGGTCCCTTGCGGCCCGACTTCTCTGTGATTCTCTACGATTCGCTCCTGCCTGGGTGGGCATCTCCCCAGGTTTATTTGTGTCTGCCTGCACGCACCAGACCTAATCCATCTCCCCATTCGGCTTCTCGTTATCTCCAGCCTGGGATTTCCTTTGCCTTCATTTCCTCCCATTAACCTCAGGCCGCCCTCGATGTGATTCTCCCTCGTTTTTCCATCTCCCCGCTGCAGCTGCTGCTTCCAGGATGTCTGCACTTTGCATATTATCCACTCCCCAGACGTTGGCTTATCGGCTTGCTTTTCCTCGGGTGCCTCCATCAGGATGACTTTTGGTGCTGGGAGCCCTATTTGCAGCGAGGGAGACCAGGGAAGGCAGCCTTGATTTTCATAGCACAGGCCTGGTTCTCACAGGCTGAGCTTAGGAGATGTTAAAACATGGGGCTGGAGCAGTGTCGTAGCACAGGGCATGCTACTATCACCCCCGCGACAGGGCTGTCTCCATGACCCAGGTGTCATGATCTGGATAAACCCAGACGGGCAGCGCCTCAAAGCCTTGGCACCTCCTTAGAGGGTCATGGATCACCAGGGAGCGCTGGGATGGGGCCGTGGGGATGTTCACGGGTGCTGGATCTCAGCTGGAAATCAGAGCCGGCATAATGGAGATGGCTTTGCAGGCAGAGCTGAGTTCGGATCTTGACAAAGGTCGGCAGGGCAGATGGGCTCTCTGATTGCACCCTGGTTTGCACTGGTCTCCACCCGGGCCTGCTCTGGGGCAGCAGGAGCTGCAAGTGGGTCCGTCTGGCCTCTCTGTTATCCAACCTGTATTGATGGCTGCCCAGGATAGAGGAGATTGCAAGGGGAGATAATCCAGGAGCTGCCCGGTATAGAAACTGCTCTTCCTCACTGGTGTCCCAGCAGCAGCTCAGTTCTGGAGTGACCTTCCCTCGTTGCAAGCTCTTCCCCCAAGCCCCATTCACACGGGGCTCAGGACTGGGTTTGCCCCACAACTCTGTATCTGCATGGGCAGGGCCACGGGGAAGGTGCCAGGGCCAAGCAGGGCTTCCAGCCTGCTGATGAGACCCCGTGGAGACCAGCTGCGGGGCGACAGCGAAGCATCTGCAGAACGTCCCTGCACCACTCAG